GATGCCTCTTTCTGGATCCGGCTTAAATTCCAGGCCTATCACTGGGCGCCATTCTGGATTCAGCTGTTACAGGTCGGTAACTTGCGCAAAAACTTCCTCCTCCTTAACTGGCAACAGAGATGGTGGTTTCGCTTTGTTAAACTTTCCTTTCTTCGATATGATCGGTTTTGGGAGGTTCTTCTTCGAGGTATCCCGGCTGGGAATATCGTCTCCCAGGTTCTGCGCTCGTATCAGCTGCTGATCCTCGATCACCTGGTCCACCTCTTCCTCACGTTCAATGGTATCTCCATCCACACCGCTACTCCAGTCCTTTGCCAGTGTTATGTTTCCCTCAGCAGATGTTGTTCCGTTCAGTACAGCGGTCGTTGTTGTTTCCTCCGATTTTGCATCTGATGATTTTTGTCGCCGGTTTTTGAAGGAATTTTGAACGGTCGGCACACGAATACGTACAGTACGTTTTGCGTAAACACGTGGCTTGAAACGTTCGGCTCTTGCACCGTTACGTAGAAATTTCGATGTCAGATGTTCCGGTGGAGCACGTACAAGCGGCGGTACACAGCGATGTGCAATCTTCCAAAGGGGTAGCACCATCTTGAGTGCTGTTCGTTTGTATTCTTTCACAGTGAATGAATAAATAATTGGATTGAGCATTGAGTTACAGTATCCTGAAATTGAACAAGTAATTGCAGAAATGTGAAGAGCGCTAAATGAGTGAGAAGAAAAATGCATGCAAAAATACCAGAAGTACTGAGGCCAGCAAACAATGTGTGTATCCGACGTTAGTGATATTATTGAAATGTCCTCACACGCCGAGCGCAATTATTGCCATCGTAGACTGCATACCTTTAGCAGTACCTATAGCCTGTTCGGAGCATTTGCACCATCTTTTCGGTCATTTACTTTCTCTCGGGTACCACTCACTAATGCGGGTCTAATACGAAAATAGTAATTTAAAATCAGATAGGGAAAAACCGTATGCATTATGTTTATTTATTCCAGTA